TAGTTATTAGCAGCCATGGAGAAACTGGGAGTTGAACCTGCATCCTCCAGAAGAGCAGCCAGTGCTCTTAACCTAAGCCATTTCTCCAGCCCCCTAAACTTTTATTCTTACTAGCTCAACTTGGATAAAAAAACTCAAATTGTTCACAAACAGCTAACTGGATAAACAGAGTTAGAGTACACAGAACATTAGAGTACACAGAACATTCAATGTAGGTCAGTTGTTTGATTAAAAGGAGTAGGAAGGGGGAGGATGATGAGGAGAGAGAGAAAGAAGAAGGAAGAAGAAGAAGAAGGAAAGAAGAACAATAACAACAACAAATATTACTACTACTGAGTTTGATCCCTGGGACCTGTATGGTAGAAAGATAGAATTAACTCTTGAAGGTTCTGGTAGTCAGGTGCACCCCAACCCCAACACACACACAGTAAAATAAATTGACGTACAAAAATAAACAAATTGGCATTAGCAGATAGATAACAAAATATTTGTTTTATTATTGTAAAGTTAAAAATAGTAGACAAGCTTATCTAGTTACAGTTTCAAAGCAGAATACAACAAATATATAAATTATTGCATATAACAACTCAGATGACTAAATAAACTATTTTGAAACAAATTTAAGTTTTTACCACAGCAGTTTCATTTTCATTTTCTAAATGTCAGCACAATTGTTTAAAATAAACTTCTAACAGCAGAGATTATAAAGTTCAATGACTATAGCATATTCTAGTCAGGTATAAAGCAAAGCAACCCTTTCTTTCTCTCCCTCCCTCTCTGTCTCTCTCTGTCTCTGTCTCTGTCTCTCTCTCTCTCACACACACACACACACACACACACACACACACACACTACTGAACACTTTTTAAACCACCTCTTCTGGAAGCAGTAGGATGGGGAAAAGAAAAACAACACTTAACAAAACCAACCACACCCCCAAAGCATACACAGCTTTTGAGTAAGTACATCTTTATGACACTTTTGCTTCACGTTGGTAAACTTGAAACTGGGGAAAAATTACTAAATAATTATAACAGAGACTCCTTCAAACTAAAAATAATAGTGAAGGCATGATTTATAAACTAGTGTTAAAAACCTTAAAGTTCCAGATCCTGTTCACATCAAGGAAGATGCAGCCTGAGGCTGTTGAGAGGAGGGGGCTGATGTAGGAAAAAGAAGTGAAATGCAAGAATGCAAGGCCAAGTCACACTCTTCACAGCGCAGCGTGAGTCCCCTTCCTCACAGAGTCCTATTACTCCCCCTTCCTCACTCTAGCCCTAAACTCTTCTGTGCCCATCTCCACAAAAATTCCGCAAGGGCATTTATTCAGGGTTCTATCTGTTAGTGACTTTTTTTTTTTTTTTTTTAATCAAATTTCCTAAAAAAAAAAAAAGAAAGAAAAAAAAAAATCTGGTCAAGGAATCAGACCAAAATCAAATCGTCTCTGCTTTAAAGTTGTATCTTAATAGAGGGAAATAAAATTTTTATACTTATGAGCTTTTAAACTATTCATACGTCTTGCTTTATCTTGCTTTAGCATGGACAATAGTAACATTTGTCAGTAAACGAACTGGCAAAAAAGTAAAAATAACAAAGTTAAAGTAACAATATATTTTACCATTAAAGTATTTCATATACATGTAATTACTTTCCATGATCACAAAGCTGAACTCTTTAAAAAAGCTACATAGATCTTTAAGATTCCTACTTAAGTTTGAGCACACCTGTTTCGTGCTACATATAATGTTAACAAGGAAAGCGAATTTCTCCTGAAAAGAAAGAAAATAAAACCCCAAGTGATAAACATTAATACAAATAGATCAGAATAATTAGTTTAAAAGGTAACAAGAAATGTAACAGGCCTCTCAGCAGTATAAACACCAAGGTAAGCATCACATAGACAACTGAAAAAGGTAAAAGCCATTTTCAGTAGCAGATATGATACAACACAAAACCAAGGACTCATACACGACCTATCAAATGGCAGCAGAATATATTTCACTGCATTTCTGAAACAGCTTACCAACATGAACACATTTTGAAAAATAACCCTTAAATGTTTATAAAAATGGGCACTTTATGGTGAAATGAACATGTAGCTTAGAAACTAATACTGCATCCAAGAATAGCACAATGAGACAAATCGACTGCTTGGGCTCACCAGCATGGTGTCTCAAGTGAGTGCCTTCTCCAAATAAGTAATTCATAAACTAATACTAGAATCAAAGGAGAAGACGATAATCTCAGGTGGGCCAATACCAAAAGGTTCAGCCAGGCATGGCAGTGCAGTGTATGTTGAACCCCAGCATTCAGAGGGTTGAAGCAGTAAGATTGATGTCAAGTTTGAGGCCAGCCTGGACTACATAATACAACCCAAACCAAAACCTCTGTGTATTTAATATGGTGACAGGAATTAAACCCAGGGCCTGATGTATGCCAGGCACATTAAAAACACCAATCTTTAAAGATAAAAGTCTTGTGAAAATCACATTTGACTTTTGATTTTAAAACCTTTTAGCTAGTTTAATTATGAAATCTAGCATGACAAAATTTTAACTCACTCCTCACACAGCAGCTCTGGAACATAAGGGTTCACTAGCAGTCTGTCTTCTGTTATTTTTAAAAAGTGAAATCACGTGTGACAGTTGCTTCTGAACTTTCCCAAAACATACTGACAACTATTTAGAAAGAACCAAATATAGAAATCAGTATTTGTGATAATTTATAGCTCCCTAAATTGTAACTCAACTCTGTCCTCATCTTTATTTATGTATATACAATAATTGCATATTCAATCAAGAGAGTATGTGAAGCTAGGTGTAGGATGTACACCTGAATCACAGCACTGTATCTCTTCCTGAGTCAGGAGAACTGCCACAAATTCCAAGACCAGCCTGGCCTACTAAGAAAATTCTAGGCCAGCCAGAGCTATGTAGCATGACCCTGTCTCAAAACACACAGACAAAAAACCAGCAACAACACAACCAACTATAAGTAACTGGTGGGTAAACAATATGAAATACTACACTCCAACATAATTCACATGGATGAGTACTAGTGTTACTACCAGCACCAGATATAGACTTAGGAGCACCATCCTTTGACATTTCAGGTGAAATATCTAAATGAAATGAATTGGTAATTGGGAAAATCCCAGTCAGTCAAAATGCATTAGTAAATGAAATATTTGCCAGAAAAGTCTTCAAAGAGTTCAGCAAACATTTTCTTTGGATAACACTGGTATTTAGGACTGCACCATATGTCTCCTATGATAGAATCACACTAAGTACTACACCAAATACTAAGAATCCTAGACTCCCATGACTGCCCTGTCTTTACACCATCAAGACAGAAGCCCAAATGTGTGCAATATGCTGGCTGCTAATATTCTTAATGAGTTGTGCCAAGCAAGAGAAGAGTCAAACATGAAAATGTAACCTTAACAACAAAGCACTGAAATACTTCCTGGCATCAATCTCCCCCCAGCTTGTAAATGTGGACACTTCCACATTGCACACATTCACTGTAAAGCTTATCAAAACTAAGGCAGTGCATTCATCCATCTCCACTCTCCAGATCTTAAATTCACTTTGGAATTGTTTTCAAAAGTTCCCTCCAAAAAGCTTCAAAGTTAAGTTGTATCCAGGAAAAAGCAAAACCAATGGGGGTATCAACTAATGCACAAACCCAGGCCAATTTAATACATCTTAGCATTAGGAAAAGGTGTTTTTCCTTCAGGGAAGGGTTTTTTTTCTTTTTGCTTAGTCAAATAAAACACTATTTGTGTTTGACATTAAAGTCTGACCCTTGCCCAGACAGACTGCCAACACTATGGCAGAAATCATCTTGATGCATGCAGCTGCCAAGTTAAAGGGCTGTCCTTCCTTAGAAGTACCACACAAACACATTCTAAGCACCAGTTAAAAACCATCTAGAGCCTGACTTAATTTTGGATGCGTCATAGCTTTTATTAGTTAAGAATCTAGACTCCAAGTAGGTTATCTCTCCTTTTTTTTTAATAGGCTTATTTTATTGAGAGTTGATTTTGTTTTGTTTTGTTTTTTGTTTGTTTGTTTGATTGTTTTGTAGTCTTCTCTCCCTCTAGCTTTTAAAACTTAGAAAGGTACCATAAATGCTTTTTCTTTCCTTTTTTGGGGCTAATTTTAGTGATATTGTTAGCAAAATTTGGACAATTAGGATTTCATGTGAAGAGGGACACATAATTTTATCCCCCCCAAAAAAAACCACGACAAATACAGTCTGCGGATAGGAACTACCCTGGTACACTGGACTCAGGGCTGAGAGATTATTTATTCCCCCAAACCGGATACATCAGAGAAAGTCATGAGAGTGAAGAAGCAGATTGGAGCTTCTGCTTTTACGGAGACTGACACAAGCAGCAGGGTAGCATTCCCTTCCTAAGCTAATTCACAACTGCTTTCATTAGCAAATAATAACGTGCTTTAGTTCCTTGGATGTTTGCTTTAGAGAGGGATTGATCTCACTTTCATATGCTAGTACTTAAAACAGCTCAGCTAGGTAGACTGCTTCTCCAAATACTATTCAAAACACATTCATCTTTGGAAAGAAAGACAACAGTTATAAAAACAATGTATCCCCAAATGCAGTGATCTTCATATGGGCAGACATATTCACACACGGAAGTGTGAATACATACGGCCATTCACACACACATTTACAAAGACAATGAAAAATACCCAAAATAGCATTTTTATATATAAAATTTTATATCAAAATATTGCTCATAAATAAGGTGATATTATGAATTCTACTTCTCTCTAAAAAATTATCTCTGGTAGTTTATACTGACTTAAGATCTTATTAGGCTTCTTTTGTTCTGACAGCTGAGTTACAATGGAAAATGTCCAATAAAAACACAGTAACAGTATATTTTAGTCACACATGGTAAAAGTTAGGGAGGGGCATTTAGTAAGTATAAGAAAAAGTCCCCAAATGAAGCCAAATGATTAACCCTAGACTAGAGTGATCCTCTTTATTGGATTAAGATAATAAATATTATCTTATGCTTTCAAAGTACAACCATAAAAATGGACCATAACTTTCTTCAAATGTGTTGGAGGTACACATGCTTGGCAGAGCAGCAGGGGTAAAGCACAGAAGCTACGTCCAGTTCAGTTGTTTATGGGCAAGTGCGACCTCGTTCCTGCCCGCCCCACTTGCAGACATGGTAGCTTGGAATAGTTCTTGAGAAGCTGCTCAATGGCAACATGACGGACATGGAGCTCGGATGCCAAAGAGTCTTTCTCTTGCACTTGGTGTGTTAACTCTTCAAAAACTTCTGTTGAGGATTTAGAAAGTAGTTTCAGTTTTAGTGGGCAGAACGCTAACCCCCCAAGACTTCTATTTTAAGTAAACACGGGTTCAATGCATTGGGTAAATTTAAGAAGGAACTAATTGATGCAGAGGAAAACAGCTGCTTTCTCCTAAGCCGATCAGTGTTATCCTGCTACATTTCTTATAGATAAGTGAGATGCCATCTCTTCTTTATCAAGGGCAAGCTGAGAAAGACTATAGAATACAGAGTAGAAACAGCGGCCACCACTTGAGCCCCTTCTCCATTTTAATCTACTTGTAGGTGCAATCAGTATGCAATGACTTATCAAATAACTACTCATTAATATCCAGGACCAGCAACTCCAAGATACTTCCAACAGGTTACCTGGATTTTCAAAATCCTGGCTCCTCCAATCATGTGTGCATGCATGTGCTTCAGCTAAGTCATCTAAACCTTTTATTTGTGTTTCCTTTTATGGATAAATTGATACGAATGGCAAACAGCTCACAGGGACACTGTGATAGTTAAATGAGGTCCTACTTGTAAAGAGCAAGTATGTACATAACGAATGTAAACTGGGATTACTAGTGTTACTTTATTGTTTTCAGAGGCTTGTGTGCTTCAAGTTTTGAAGTCTGCTACTGACTGAATAATCTCTGTAGCAACTTAAAGGTTTCCAGGCAACTAATTGCCTCCCCCAAATGGGAATGGCTAGAATTAAAGATGATGAGGATGTGACTATTGTAGGTGTTGATGTCTATGATGATGCTAAAGAATTATTAGTGTTTTTTAAGAGCTAATAACGAGCATGTAACTGATTTGTTTTTTTTGTTTTTTTTTTTTTTTTTTTTTTTGTAAACAAAACCTTGACATTTACTGTCAGGGATCTGGAAATAATCCATGCAGGTGGTTGTGGTGGGTTGAAAGGAATGGAAGGAAACAAGTGGTAAGGAAAGCTTTAGTAACAGTTGAAGCCAATGACAACAGGCAGTGGTCACTACACTTACCTCACAATTTTCATGTGCTTCAAATGGTTCTAGTTCACATAGATAAGCAGGGCTAATACTACAGCCCTAAGGAACTATGGGAACACATAACCCCAGGGTGCCTGACCCACAATGAAGTCAGTGATGCCAAGAGGAGGGCTGCAGTCTCCATTCTACTTAAGATGATTTTTCCTAATGAAACTTCCCCTTTCTGTTTGCCTCAGGAACCTCAACAGGTGTGAACACCTTAATTTCTAAATTTAAATCATGTGGAAACTAACAATGTTCAACCATACAGGGGATATTTTACAGCGACATCTTTAACATAGAAGGAAAAGCATCGAGAATGATTCTTTACCCTGGATTTGCTGTTGCAGCTTTGTATTCAGCTGTTCTACTTCATCAAGAGTCATTGAGTTCACTGAAACATGAAAATACATTCATTGTTACCACAGGCGACCCAGGAAAGTAAGCTGTCAGCTTCTCAGGCAAAGAGTGCACTTCATTCCCAATACAACATTCAACAGAAACCCAGCTCTCCTGTATGGGTTCTTAAAGAGTACCAAAATCTAACCACAAAACCCTCCTCGTAAGAAACACATTAAAGATACACCTCCATCATCCACAGGAAACAAGAGCTTGAACAAACAAACAAACAAAAGGAGCATAACCAGACTGTTCGATTCTGCTATCTCCCCTTTCACTGCACACTCACACGGACTCTGAGTAAGCTTTGGATAGGTCATGACCTGCGCTTTTAAAATACTACTTTAAAGTACTATGAAGTGTCTATCTAGCAAAACAACCTTCACACAAAGAATCAAGAACTGGTCGAAAGACACCGTCAAGGTCCCTTCGGAGCTAAAATATTTTAAGGCAATTAAAATCACCTCAGTGAAATTTTGTAGAAAGGTGCAGACAAAGGACGTCACTTAAAATTTTAAAATCAATGTCCCTATTGCCCTCTACCCTTTAGTAAACTGCCAGATGTTTAAGTTGACCTCGTGGCGAATTAGTCTTATAAGGGCTTAGCGACATGACAATGTATACAGGCCAATAGCTCCAGTTACACAAACAGTAGGAACCCTGAACTTTTAATTCACTTTGCCAATTCCATTCTATTTGGTCACTAAAAGTGACAAAGTGAATGATGGTGCCAATGAGTATGTATATAACACATACTCAAGAACCTTCCAGAGAAGTTTTAAGCCATCTTGACTTTGCTGAGGCAAACCTGTCACTTAAAATATTATGTTCACCAAATCTAAAATCGTACACACACACACACACACACACACAGAGAGAGAGAGAGAGAGAGAGAGAGAGAGAGAAATTATCAAACCAACTGAAACCAACTACTACCCAACTCCCTCCCCCCCCCCCCCCAAATGAGTAAGCTCCACAGTCTCCACCTTCCTTCTTCCCACATTACTTACATTCCTCTCTGCTGTAATGTGGATGTTGTGTCTGGACATTCTCCTCTGGACCAGAGCTCGTCTCTTCTTTTTTCTGTGCCTGGCTGTGTTTGCGAGGCCACAATGCATCCGAGTCTTGCAATATAGCAAGCCCGAAGCCTGTATTTTCCCTCTGCTCCAAAATTCTTTGTGTATAGCTTGAGAGGCCACCCGTGTTTCCAGCTATCCCTTTCACAGAGTACTTGGGCACTTGATAATCGAACTGGGGGAGTAACTTCTTATCTGGCTTATGCCGGAAATTAAACAGGTGATGTCGGGTATTTTTGGAACATTCAGAATCCAAATCCATATCTTTATTTTGTGCATACTGTACAATCCAGTTTATCTTCTTAGTCAGGAGGGTTTTAACTCCTTCATAAGTACTTTTGGAAAGCTTGGATCGAGAACAATCCTGGTTTGCAATTAAATGATACTTTTCAAAGCAGTCTTTATGGCCCCGCAATGATCTGGTATGTAAAAGGTTAGACTTTGGTACTCCTAAAGGAAAAAGAAGACAGGATGAAAACTCAAAACATATTCACAGTTTCTATAAAACATCACTTTAAGTACAAATGAACTGTAATGGATTCTTGATAGGACTTATTTGCACGTTAGAGGTAAATGTTGAAGAGTATTGACACTGATACAAAGTGTATGTAGCCTAGTCTATGTTTCCATTTAGCTTTATACTCAAAATATCTTTATTGGTTTGCTGTATGTATGCATCTGCATGCGTATGTGTGGAAGCCAAAGTCAACAAAGTGTGTCTGTCGTGGATGCTGTCTCCTCCATTTCTTGAGGCAGAGTCCTCTTTGAACTTGAAACTCCACGGTCTGGTCAATGAGCCTCTGTGCATTTTAGGGACGAGTCAGGTCTCATGCTAACCCAGCAGAGGCTTTACTTGACAGAGCCATGGCTCTAGCTCAACAGGGACAGGGATATCTTTATGACTAGCAAAGATTTTTGAAAACTTTATAATTCAGTTTGAGTCTCAGTCCAGAGGCATAGCACATACAGTATAACTACACATACTCTTGTTCCCAGCAACCACTAATTTTCGTGAAGTACATACTTACAATGTCCACTTAAAGGATGCCCAAGGGCCAGGGAAAGGCCTCAGTGGACAGACTTGCTGTACAAGTGTGAGGAACAGGGTTCAGATTCCCCGAGAGCACAGTGAGCTCTGGCCTTGATAAATAGACAGTGATCCCAGGAGAAACCCAACATCAACCTCAGGCTCCCACATGATGCTCGTGAGTCTGCACGTGTGCGCCCACGCAAATGAACACAATTACATACACTACAAACCTGTGTACCCCAGAAAGACTGTTTTTTTTTCAACGAAATATACACTAATCATATTCTTTAAGGAAATTGTTCCTAAAAAGGATATTATCAAATCCACACTGATTCCCCATTCCCCTTTCTCCAGGTCCTCCCCTATTCCTCCACCACTAATCCTCCCCAGCCACAGGCCTACGAGTTACCCAGCCACAGGCCTACCTATGAGTTAACCAGCCATGGGTTCTTGGTCCAATATATGAGTTTTGGTACCAGGCATGAGTTTTGTCTTACAGAACTGGCCTTAAGTCAAATCAGAAAATGACTGGTTACTCCTGTAACAACGCTGCCACTATTGACCAGTAGGCGTATCTTGTCAGGCCAGCCATTATTCCCAGCTGGATAAGACTATGTTTCTCCTTGAGTAGCATGCGCAGGACCTTGTAGCACTATGGTGACAACCCGTAGGGATGGAACATACAGACTTGGTCCAGACTAATATTGCTATATTCTATGACTCAAATATATGTCATCTTTAGCAACATGATCTTACCATCAAGTTGTGGAAGGTAAACAAAAGCAATGGCAGTATCCTGTAATGTCTGAGGATCTATGGGACTTCACTAACTAGTTATGTTCTTACTTGGAAGATATATACCAGAATCAGAATACATATATATAATATATACATAAACATAAAAGCCTTACAAATGTAATGAACTGTTTCAGTTTATTTTGTAAGAAAATCAGAATTTCTACATTTCTCAGTTTAATTTTGCACTCATTAACACTTATCAAGGTAATTTTATCTAGAAGAAATGAATTACACACAATTATTACTTATACAGCATATTAGCTGGTATAAATTCAATTCATAAGTATTCATGACACACTAAAAAAAAATTGGAAATATTTTGATTATCCCTTTATAGCTCCCAGTTTTCTTAGTGAAACTTTTAAAAATATAGGATACATTTTCAAATACAAAATGTCTTTTTCAAAACAATCATACATTTTTTTATAATTCAAGACATGTTATTAAAGTCAAATAGTTCTCATTCCATACTAAGGTTAAATCAGGCATGCAGAGCTTTAAATGAATGCCTGCCAGAATGATTCTGTCTAACTATGTGTGAAAATGGAGTAAGGAAAGCCAGTGAGGTGCTAGGTTAAACAACAAAACCAACCAACCAACCAACCAACCAAAACAAAACAAAACAACAACAAAAAAACCAAAGCTAAAAAAAAAAAAAATTCAAGAGACATGAAAAGTTACATCCTTTATTCCCTGTTAACTTTAAAAGCTCAAACTGTAATTTTATTAATTGAAATTGAAAGTCTAGTCATTAGTAAGATAATGTGAAATTATTGTTTCAGCGGCATACAGTAAGAGATAAAAAAGCCATGCTAGCTGATATTTGGGACTTGGTCAGCTTGCCCCAAATCTCATCCTTGATAGCATCTCTGCACCCTGAGTGCATGCTTTGTATACCCTACAGCTTTTGCTCTTCGATGGTCCTACAGACTCCCAGAGTTCACCATGTTGAAATGAGATTCCTCTGCTTCCCCTCGGGACACTCAAACCCCAGTCTCCCTGTGAGTGTGGAAACCACTGACCAGAATGGAGCACTGCTCCTGAGAGCCCTCCTGCCCCATGCTCAGATGTTCCAGATGTTCGCTGGAACTCCCTCACTGCCTTCTCTTTCTCCTCCTCCTTCATCCATAAAAATCTTAAAGCCCACTTCACCCACTGCAAACCTGGGCCATTACCCACATCTTCTAACTAGTTCTCACTTCCTCTGAGAAGTCTTCTCTAAGCAACACACCTAGGTTAGCTATTACACGGGGTATTTGCAATGGCCTCTTCACTGGCTTTTGTGTCTTGCCAGCCAGGTCAGTTCTGTGTAGAAAGGGGTCATTATCTAGCTTACTCACAGGCAATCCCCGGTCTTACTGTCTGCCGTGTGATGAGAAGTGGTTAAACACATCAGGGAAAGTTAAGAGGATGCTTAAAAAGCAGCAGCATCAACAACAACAATAAAAGCCCTATTTTACCAGCTGTCATGTACAGACAGCTTACATGCAGATTTACCATCTCACTTAAAGGGTAGCAGGCAGTTTGGGCAGCTTACTCAGGATAATTAAGGGCACCTGTCAGTGAAGTCATTCCTACACTTTAGTCTAGAGGGCTGACAGTCTCAGGAAGTGGTGAGTGGCACTAATACATAAGTAGATTCCTGTGGTATCAGTGTGCCAAGAAAATCATAAAGTTTACTTCATTATATATTTTAAATAGCAATCCACTGAAGAAAGCAACAAGGGCTGATTCATATAAACTCCTGCTTACCCAGTGAGGTTAGAGCCTTTAACATTTTTGTTTAAATTATAATAACATTTTTACCTGGATAAATCTCGAAAATATCTGTAAACATGCTTTAACTATCCCATGCAAAAGCAAAGAAGTAAAAACAATAATACCATGACTACTTCATATAAAATTAATTTCTAACACAGAAAAGATGTGTCTCAGTTTATAATAGCAATATGCCTGTCATTTTATATTAAAAACTCTTAAGAGATTATGTGTTTTTCTAATTTACCATTTCACATTAACACTAGAGAAATGATCACTTCTGTTATCAGAGACCTCAGGACTGAAGGTGCCAAGGACAAATGCTGAGGCATGAATGACACTGTGAGAGGTCAGAGGAGGCCACTGGTGAAGGTGTAGCTTTGGCTGAACTTGGAGACCCAGGATATTGGAGATGCCAGGATGTTGGGCATCTACTAAGGACAGCAGCAGCAGGTGTGGACTGAGCTGCCCTGAGTCTAAGAGATAAGCATGTGTGCTACAGATGGTGAAGTCGGAGGAGGGATCTGCCACAGCCCTTTGGAGCCAAGCTCACAGGTGAGTCCCAGATGTCAGGCACCGAGCTACCGACCAGATTTTAGAATTACACCGCTGGACTTTGGTTTTACTTAAGTACGATTACTCTTTGTGCCCTGGTTCTTTCCTCTTAGAATAATAAAGTATTTAACTTACTTTGGATTTTCCAAGAGCCCAAACTTAACGGACTGTAATTTTAAAGAGAAACTGAACTTTAATTTTTTTTTCCTTTTTAATATTTTTTCTTATTTTACATATCGATCCCAGTTCCCTCTCCCTCCCATCCTCCCATGACCACCACCAACCCCCCACCCTATCCCCCATCCACTCCCCAGGGAAGGTGAGGCCTTCTATTAGGGATCATCAAAATCTGTCAAAATTTGGGGTGTGGCTTAGGCCCCCCCCCCCCCCCCCCCCGTGTCTCTAGGCTAAGGGAGTGTCCCTCCATGGAGAATGGGATCCTGAAGTCAGTTCCTGCACCAGGGATACATCCTGGTTCCACTGTCAGAGGTCCCATAGACTGAGACCCACTGAGAAACTGAACTTTTAAGTGATAGAATTTTTTAAAAGACTGTGGGAGTTTTAAGACTGTACTGTATTTTATCCCGAATATTAAAAATAAGGTCTTAGAGACAAATATGAAAGACAAGGTTAGTTTAAAGTGGTGTGTCAAAAGTGACTAGGGACTGTCATAGCTTTACCTGTCAACCTGATACAGCTGACTAACTGTTCTTATCACAGCAACAGAAAACAAACCAGAACACCCAATTTTTACTTAAATCTTTCTTCTATGTCCAAAAGACTCTCCTGATTACCCACCTGGCAGGTTGTCCTCACAATCACATTCTTTAATTCTCTCTTTAAAATAAAATTGCCTATCAAAGCCCCCAGAGGGGCAAAGACTACCGAAATATGAGTATTTACGTGTAATTGTCACTGTTACTTTTAAAATTGAGGCTATTCCTGGGCTCTTATTTAATCTGCTTACTGTGGGACTAAAATGCTTCTTTCTAAAAGACACGAAGCCCCAAAAGTTATTTAAAAAAAAAAAAAAAAGCCGTTAATGCCAAAACTCCTATAGAGTTGTACTTCTCATCCTATCCATCCTAATCTCTGGCAGATCCTATTTATGATTAACTAGTAGTGAAATCAACCAAGCATCTTTTTCCTGGGAGGTTCACTAGCTGGTCTTGTGAAGAAACATAGTCTTGTACACTGTCCCCACTGATGACACACATGGTCTCACACACTGTCCCCACGGATGACAAACATGGTCTTGTACACTGTCCCTGCTGATGCCACACAGCTTTACTTCATGCATTCTTCAATC